TTGCCAAAGTCTCGCACCGCCTGCTCTTCCCCCTTGGATTGCTAGGGAACCCCAGGACGGTCGGGCTGACAGCAACCCGGGACCTTCCCTGAAGCCTTGTGGTTGCTGACCCGGGGCCCGTCGTCGGCCTCCCGGCCTCTCTCATCAATAGTGGGCCCCCGTACCCCTCTACTTGGGTGGAAGGCTGGCCCTCTTCGCCGCTGATGGAGCCAGCTACCTTGTCGCTCTCCTGGTGGCACAGAAGGAGGGCGGGCCTGGTGGCACGGAAGGAGGGGCTTCTGCCTGATATATTGAAGGGTGTAGTCGTGCCCACCACTCTGCGTTAGAATTCCAAAGGTGCCTGCGTGCTCAAAATGTTTTGGGGACCCCTGATCTATCCACATATTGTCACAAAGGTCCCTGGCTGAACTGGGGACAGTCACAGTATAAGCTACTTTGCTGGACGATTGTGAAGACAAAATAGAGAAGGGAGAGCCATGCATACCGCCTTGAGCTCCTAGAAGAGAGGGCAGAACAAAAAGGTGCTAGACCAGGGGTCCCCGGCCTTTTTGAGCCTGTGAGCATCTTTGGAATTCTGACATAGCGTGGTGGGCACAGCCACGAAATGGCTGCCACTGAATGGCTACTGCGGGGGGCGGAGCGAGTCACGAAATGGCTCCCGCAGCTTACTTTCAGTCACATGGTGTAGATCCGGGGTGGCCAAACTTGCTTAACCTAAGAGCCGCATAGAATAAACGTCAGATGTTTGAGAGCTGGAAGACATGAACAAATATTACACGTTTTTACGGGGAAAGATGCAAGTTTGCTTTTTATTAGCATTACATGAGACTGCCAAAAATGACGAAACTGGTAAAAACAGATATTGATAATGATATTTATTTGTCCGATGATCATTTGTTTGCTAATGGTATTCAGCTTCCCCAGCCGCCTTGCCGGGAGCTGCACAATATGCCACAGTTTGGCCACCCCTAGAGTAGATCCTTGTGTTGTGGTGGCAGCCGCCGCCGAAGCAACATTTCTAAAAATCTACACAGCCAAACAGAAGCCTTGCTGAAGAAATGCCCCACCTGTTCCCGTCCACTTCCTGAAAACATGTGGTCAGTGCCACGGTGCCCATAGGCACCACGTTGGGGACCCCTGAACTAGATGAGTCGGCCACAGAAGAGGCCACGCTCTACAAAAATGTTATAAGCTGGGCCTCCTATACAAGAGACTGTACCTCTGGCTTGGGATGAAGGGTGGCTCTGGTGATCGCCGATGTACAGCCACTAACATTATTAGAAACACACCCTACAAAAAGCATGCCTTTAAAGGTATGGAGCAGATTTGTGTGTTATAACTGCAAAGCGGTAGTTCCAAGTATGCTAAAAACTAATCCGAGTTAAGGGCTCTTGTGTGTTCAGTTTGTTGTTGTGGTTAAGTGCACGGACTCTAATCTGGGAGATCCGGGTTTGATTCCCCACTCCTCCACTTGCACCTGGCTGGATGACCTTGGGCAAGCCATAGTTCTGGCACAGCTGTTCTTGAAAAAGAGCAGTTTCTGTCAGAGCTCTCTCAGCCCCACCTACCTCACAGGGTGTCTGTTGTGGGGAGGGGAAGGGAAAGGAGCTTGTAAGCCGCTCTGAGACTCCGAGTGAAGGACAGGGCATAAATCCAATCTCTTTTCTTCTTCTCTTCTTCTTCAGATGGAGGGACTGTGAATGCTGGGACAGGGAGGGGGTGGGCACCTGGGCCCCAGGAAGACTCATGGTGGGCATTTTAGAAACTGTACAAAGGCTCCTGGTCTCTCTTCTACCTGTGGTTGATCCATCGTGGATAAACCCTGAATTTCTGAAGTCGGTGTGCGGAGTGGCTGCTGTCCGTTGCGAGGCTCTGCTGCCGAGAATCACCGCTTCTGTTTTTCTCCTGCGAATCCGTTTCGAATCTCAGCAGAGGAGCCTCCTGCTGCCAGGTGGGAGTGGCCTTAGGGACGTTTTTCTCACTTGATTTTAATCTCTCTCGCCTTTGCCTCCTCTTGCTGAGCTAATGGAAATAAAAGGAAATAGGCAGCTAATGCTTTGGAGTCACGTAACTGCAGTCAACATACAGAGGCCCAAGTTACTTTATCTGCATTGCCTACTGCACCATCAACTAGTGTGCAACAGAAGGGGAAGGAATCTTAGGATTTTGTTTTGCTTTTTTGCTTCGGGCTCTTCTTCATTGCGCACAACTTTCCCCTCCTTCTCACAAACGGAGTCTCTGCTTTCAGTGGAAGTTTGCATGTTGTTCACCGCTGCTGCCAATGAACCCTGGAATAAACTTCCTATCTATTTGACTGTAAGGCAAGGAGCAGCTGCTAGAATGCATGCAAGCAGTTGCAAATGTTGCAAGATTACCATGCATCTGGATCAACCAGTTTTCCTGGTGGTTTTGCAAGGCATCGGCTGGACTTCCCAGCCCTGAATAGAACACTGCTGTGAGTGTGCCGGGAGATTCTGGGTATCTGTCAAGGCCAGAGGATGCAAAACTCCATGTAAGCCTCCAAGCAACTTCTCGGGTTAATTGCTGTAAACAGTTTCAGGTGGTGGTTCTTGAAAGCTGTGTGCGCGCACCCATGCGGTATGGCATCTGTTGCCAAGTGCTGCCGCTTCGGTGGAATTTTGATAGGTGGATTAAATTTTTTTGAATTTATTTCTTTAAAAGAAACCCAGAAAAAAGAACAAGGGGCAGAGAACTTAAAATCCAGCAACTAAATAAGATTTTTTAAAAAGATATACATAAAGACCAAAATATAGCAACAGTGGTGGTGGATTTACACATTATTTTCTATAAACAATTTCCAAATCCCTAAAAATAAGTCCAATCTTAATTGTCGTCTATATACCATGAGTTCAAATGTTGATAGAGTTCTAAGGTCCTCGGTCCATTGATTTACCAGAGGTGCGTTTTTTCTCTCTGATGTTGTAGTCAGTGTTCCTTCTAAGCTGACTCATAGCTCACAGTGTTTTTAGCCTCCGGCTCACACATTTTTATCTCAGCTCAGGAAGGATGGGGCTCTGGAGCAAACTAATCTGTACAGTAGCCAAATGGCTCGCTCACAACTTTAATGCCAGCAGCTCACAAAGTGGATTTTTTGCTCACAGGACTCCACAGCTTAGAGGGAACATTGGTTGTAGTATGAATCTTTTAGCTGTATGAAGGGCACAGAGGGTCCATTCTTTTTTTTAAAAAACCCACAATTTTATTATCAGGATATAACTACACGTTCCATCTAAAACCATTTCACCATTCTTAGTATATCCCTTTTCCCAATCACCCACCCTCCCCTTCTTCCGGCTTCCCGCAGCGCTCCCACCCCTACCCTAATTCATTTTCTTATTCTTTCCCTCCTACCTTTTTCATAATTCTCAACCTTATAGGTAACCTATTCTGTAGTTATTTCTTTCCAACATTTCTATACTCTATTCTTAATAATTATTAAAGCAAAACAAATTGTTCTTAACATCCCAGTGTTTTTCTATGTAGTCTTTCAAGTCTTTCCAATCTTCGAAAAATTCCTCATCTTCTTTGTTATTTAACTTTCTTGTCATTTTATCCATTTCTGCCATAAAAAGTAACTTCCTTACCCATTCCCATAGTTCGGGTATTCTTTCTTGCTTCCAACATTGAGCATAAGTCATTCTGGCCATTGTAATCAAATACCATATCAATGTTCTCTTTGTTACATTCACTTCTTCCATTTTAAGACCCAGAAGCAGTATTTCTGGTTCTTTTTTAAAAGTACATTTCAGAATTTTCTGCATTTCATTATGGACCTCCATCCAAAAATTCACAGTTTTCTCACAAGTCCACCACATATGGTAAAAGGAACCTTCTGCTTTACAGAGGGTCCATTCTTGTTCGCTTAGTCTCCAAGAGACAGGCAGACAGTTTAAAAGTACATAAGAATCATCAAAAGTCGATGAACATTCTAATGCAAAAATTGGTATGAGGGTTGGACTCACGTAGTTGAATCTCATTTTGTAGGCCTGTGCCCCCAGTGAGTGGGGTAACAGAGAAATGCTGCCGTGAGCACAGAAACAAAATAACTTCTGAAGGGGATTTTTGTAGATGAAGAGCCAGTCAGAACCAGAAGTCCCCAGTCCCAGCTCCTTCTAACATTATAGGTGTGTGTAAAGAGCCGTCAAGCCATGGCCAATTTATGGCGATTCCTCTATGGGTTTCCAAGGCAAGAGGTGAACAGAGGTGGTTTGCCATCACCTGCCTTTGTGTAGCAGCTCTGGACGCCCTCGGTGGTCTCCCATCCAACGACTGACCATTGCCAACCCTGGTCAGCGCGTCTGATTTCTGACCATAGTGGGCTAGCTTGGGCGATCCAGGTCAGGACCTTCACAAACCTCATTTCCCTTCTTCCTCTCCCGTGAGTTCCTCTTTTCCAAGAGTTTGGGATTGTAGTTGGGTTCATTGGCATTTCCTCGTCTTCAGATCTGGCTGACTTGCACAACTGATTCAGTTAAGAAGGTAATGGTTGTGCAACGTGGGTAGCCTAGCCCTTACATCTGTTTACTTGGTATGGTCCCACTTTGTTCAGGTTAGAGTCATGCGGGATTGCAGCCTCAGGGTAGAATTGCAGAACCGTTCTCTGCAGACATGGATGCACAAGCTGTTGGAAACAACTCTGGGCAGCTGATGGTGGGAAGTAAAGAGTAAGAGTGGGACCGAGTTGCAGAACTGGGCCAGTGGGAGGGAGAAACATGTCCCTGGTTTAAGAATAGCCTGTCTCAGATTAGCGGACATTTTAGGAAACTTCTGTTTGTGTGCTTTTATCTCAGCTGGAGTTGGATTCATGGTTATTCCCACCCACCGCCTCTCTGGTTTATCAGCTAGCAACATGCTTAGTCTTGCTGTATTTCTGACCTTCCTGTAGTTGTCTGAAAATGAAAGCGAGATGGTAACATTTAGCTTCTGTGCTTTGTTTTTCTCTCCCCCACCCCACCCCAACCCACCCTGGCCTTTTTCAGGTGAGCCATGATTCCGGTCACAGAGCTACGTTATTTTGCCGATACCCAGCCAGCATACCGCATCCTGAAGCCATGGTGGGACGTCTTTACGGATTACATCTCTATAGTGATGCTGATGATTGCGGTATTTGGAGGGACACTGCAGGTCACCCAGGACAAAATGATTTGCTTGCCTTGCAAATGGGTTACCAAAGATTCTTGCAACGACTCTTCCAGAGACTGGACGCCTGCAAGCCCAGATTCGAGTTTCTATAATTCTTCTGTAGTGCCACCTCTGAACACTGGGCCGACAGGGATCAGATATGACCTCGACAGGCACCAGTATAACTATGTGGATGCCGTGTGCTACGAGAACCGCCTTCACTGGTTTGCCAAGTATTTCCCTTACCTGGTGCTTCTACACACTCTTATCTTTTTGGCTTGCAGCAACTTCTGGTTCAAGTTTCCGAGGACCAGCTCCAAGCTGGAGCATTTTGTCTCCATCCTGTTGAAGTGCTTTGATTCGCCCTGGACTACAAGGGCTCTGTCCGAGACCGTGGTGGAGGAGAGCGATCCCAAGCCGGCCTTTGGGAAAATGAACGGTTCCATGGACAAGAAATCCTCCACTGTCAGCGAGGACGTGGAAGCCACAGCTCCAATGCTGCAGAGGACGAAATCTCGGATCGAGCAAGGGATTGTGGACCGGACAGAGAACGGAGTCTTGGACAAGAAAGAGGGCGAGCAGGCCAAAGCTCTGTTTGAGAAGGTCAAGAAGTTCCGCACGCACGTGGAAGAAGGAGACATCGTTTATCGCCTCTACATGAGGCAAACCATCATAAAGGTGATAAAGTTCATTCTCATCATTTGCTACACTGTCTATTACGTCAACAGCATCACCTTCGACGTCGACTGCAAAGTGGACATCGAGAGCCTGACTGGTTACCGCATGTACCGTTGTGCTCACCCTCTGGCTACTCTCTTCAAGATCCTGGCTTCTTTCTACATCAGCCTGGTGATCTTCTACGGCCTGATCTGCATGTACACGCTCTGGTGGATGCTCCGGCGGTCCCTCAAGAAGTACTCCTTCGAGTCCATCCGAGAAGAGAGCAGTTACAGTGACATCCCGGACGTCAAAAATGACTTTGCGTTCATGCTGCACCTCATCGACCAGTACGACCCCCTCTATTCTAAGCGTTTTGCTGTCTTCCTTTCAGAAGTCAGCGAGAATAAGTTAAGGCAGCTGAACCTCAACAACGAGTGGACCTTGGAAAAACTGCGCCAAAGGATCACCAAGAACTCCCAGGACAAGCTGGAGCTCCACCTCTTTATGCTCAGCGGCATCCCGGACACCGTCTTCGACCTCATCGAGCTGGAAGTCTTAAAGCTGGAGCTGATCCCCGATGTCACCATCCCGCCTAGCATCGCCCAGCTCACCAGCCTCAAAGAGCTGTGGCTGTACCACACGGCGGCCAAAATAGAAGCCCCAGCCCTTGCCTTCTTGAGGGAGAACTTAAAATCCTTGCACATCAAATTCACGGACATCAAGGAGATACCACTGTGGATTTATAGCTTAAAGACTTTAGAGGAGCTCCACCTGACGGGCAACCTGAGTGCGGAAAACAACCGCTATATCGTCATCGATGGCCTCCGGGAGCTGAAGAGGCTCAAGGTGCTGCGGCTGAAGAGCAACTTGACCAAGCTGCCCCAGGTGGTGACTGACGTCGGTGTGCACCTTCAGAAGCTCTCCATCAACAATGAGGGCACCAAGCTCATCGTCCTCAACAGTCTCAAGAAGATGGTCAACCTGACAGAGCTGGAGCTCATCCGCTGCGACCTGGAACGCATCCCTCACTCCATCTTCAGCCTCCACAACCTCCAAGAGATTGACCTCAAGGACAATAACCTCAAGACCATAGAGGAGATCATCAGTTTCCAGCACTTGCACCGTCTCACTTGCCTTAAGCTGTGGTACAACCATATCGCCTACATCCCCATGCAGATCGGCAACCTCACCAACCTGGAGCGCCTTTACCTGAACCGCAACAAGATCGAGAAGATTCCCACCCAGCTCTTCTATTGCCGGAAGCTCCGATATTTGGATCTCAGCCACAATCTCTTGACTTCCATACCTGCGGACATCGGGCTGCTGCAGAACCTGCAAAATCTAGCTGTGACGGCCAACAGGGTAAGTAAAGGGAGGGGAGACATGGGTAAGGCACCCTCGTGTGTGGGAAGGCGTATCCTTAGGTGCGGCTGCTTCTAAGAGCTTTGGGAACCAGCAGCCACTGCACCCAATGGATGGGTTTTTCCCACATGATGTTTCGAGAAGAAGATAAATAGATGAAGTGGTATGTGGGAATGGGAAGGTGTTCTACAATTTCGTAATAACTTGCCAGGGGGTCTGTTTCGTACATTTGCCTATTAACGAAGTATCGAATAAGAAAAGAAGCCTCCTAAACTCTGTAGTGGCTGCCAGTTTCCAAACTGCCTCAGGCAGCCGCACCTAGAGATTCTTCTCCTCCTGGAGACTTAGTTTCCCTTGTGGCGAATGGAAATCCTTGTTCTTTTGGGCATCGACTGCTGTTGGCTGTCTTTCTGTAGTAATCAGTAGGAGGCCAGAGCGGCCAATGCGAAAGAAAACAGGAGAGAGAAGGGATTTCCTGTTCCCTTTGGCAAAATACTGTGCTGGGTTATGAGGATGAATGTGGGGACAGTGTTGGTTGTTTCCTTTCCCAGAGCTCAATACACTGAGAGGTCTAGAACGGGGATCTCCAACAGCTTTGGAACTGGCAGCCCCTGAGAGGTGCTTTCCTGCATGGTGCCTCAGAAAGAGGAGGGCAAATGTACAAACCAGCAGGGGTCATTTCCTGCAGGAGCGCACAGGAGCGGAGCTCCGGCAGTAAAGAGCCCAGGGGGCGGGCACATGCAACAAGCCCCACCCCCTGCTCCCAGCAGCCCCAGGCCATGAGGAGCAAGAAGCCCCCCTTCTCTCCCTCCCTCCCTTCCTCCCTTCCTCCCTTCCTCCCTCCCTCGGAGCTCCGGCAGTAAGGAGCTCAGGGGGCGGGCACATGCAACAAGCCCTGCTCCCAGCAGCCCTCAGTCGGGCCATGAGGAGCAAGGAGTGGCCCGCCTTCAGGTACAAGCTCTCCCTCCTCTGTGAGGGCAGATCTGTGCGTCCCCCCCCCCCAACTAGCAATCCAAAACAGTCCACTGGCATCTTTAAGGCCAAGGTTTATTCAGGTACAAGCTCTCCCTCCTCTGTGAGGACAGATCTGCATGTCCCCCCCCCCCCAATAGCTAGCAATCCAAAACAGTCTAGTGGAGCCTGAGCGGTGGGTGTTGACTTTTGACACGGTTCCAGTGATGTCAGGGGTGTGTGGCATATGCAAATAAATTATGCTAATAGGTTATGCTAATGAGCTCCTGCACCTCTTTTTCTACGAAATGACTCCTGCAAACCAGCCATATGTTATCAAAACTTTTGTTAGGAGGGAAGGAATCATTCAGATGGCTTAAAAGATCCAAAACGCCGTCATGCTGACTATAATTTTTTTTTTGGAGGGATAAAAGCAGTGAAAGGAATGGTGGGGGATATAGGTAAGGGTGAACGGGTTTCTGAAGACGATAGCTGGTGTTCTCAGATTGTCACGCCACTCAGTTTTGTGTTCTGGTTGCCACTTGAGTCGTACAAGTCACGACCCATAAATTCACGAGGTGTTGCATCTGATGCTGAATCTGCAGCATCTTCCGTTGAGTATTGGTGATCTCAGGTCTCATTTTGTAAGCTTGTCCCTTATGACTGGAGGAAGAACAATGGCTGAGTTCTGCAGTGAACATGTGGGGGGAACACCTTTAGGGGACATTCCAGTTGCTAGAGCAGAATTTGACTTGGAACTCTGAGTTTCATCTTTGTTGCCGAGTGGGAAGAACTGTGTGGGAGGGACTGTGGGAGAGTATCTGCTTGGCATGCAGAAGGCCCCGGGCATCTCCAGTTGAAAGGAACTAGTGATATAAAGGACCTCCGCCTGAGGTCCTGGAGAGCCACTGCCAATCTTGAATAGACAGTACTGACTTTGCTGGACCAGTGGGTTTAAAAAAACACACAAAACCATTGTTATTAGGATATAATAAACACAGTCAAATATAGATCACATCTTTTACCCTAATCCATCATACCCTCCACCCTTCCCCCCCCCCTGCAGCTTCCCACATAGCTCCAACCCGTTGCCTTCAATAATTGTCAAAGCTAAATAAACCGTCCCTTACATCCCAGTTTTTTTTCCAAATAGTCCTTGAAATCTTTCCAGTCTGCAAAAAAGTCCTCTGCTTCCAAATTATTTAATTTCCTTGTCATTTTGTCCATTTCAACCATAAAAAGTAGTTTCTTAATCCAGTCCTCAACTTCAGGTATTTTGTCTTGTTTCCAACATTGGGCATGCGTCATTCTGGCCGTTGTAATCATGTACCACACCAATGTCCTTTTTGCCACATTGACTTCTTCCATTTCAAGACCCAAAAGTAATATTTCTGGTTCCTTCTTAAATTTACATTTTACCATTTTTTCCATTTCAGCGTGTATCTCAGCCCAATACCTTTTGGCTTTTTCACAAGTCCACCACATATGATAAAATGAACCCTCTGCCTGTTTACATTTCCAACATTTGTTTGACATATTACTATTCATATTAGACTTTGCTGGACCAGTGGTTTGATTGGTATAAGACAGCTTCATATGTCCATACGTGTGTTTTTTCGGGTGTGGGGGGGAAGTATGGTCTGAGGACCATATCCTCCCAAGCTCAGTGCCACTCTCTCTCTCCCCCACACCCTGGCACGTCTGTTTGCCACTGAAAAAAATCTTTGGGGGACTATATTTATTTACAGGCCCACACCACACACGCAGCTCTCTGCTGGTCAGGGATGTTCCTCCGGTTGATTCCACCCTCCCCCAGCTGAAGCTCGCCTGTGGGCACCCAGATTTCCTCCTACAAACTCTTTGCATGCCGAGGCACCTTGCTTCCTCAGTCAAGTAGCGTTGCTCCAGCAGCATAGCCCTTTGTCATCTGGGATTGACAGGTTTCCAGAGCGGCGACCTGAAATCACAGAGCTTTGTGTATCTTTGGGTATGTTGTTCACACGGTTGGGTGCTTGCATGACTAAAGGTTGGTAGCTACAAGCCAGCGTGAACCCAGCATTATTCTCAAGATATTTGTGTAGTGTTGCAGAGGTAAATATGCTTTGTGGAGCCTGCCGGGTCTCGTTGTGCCCTAAATAACATAGGATTGAACATACCGCAGCTTCACCATGAGACTGGAGCTGGGCAGTTTTTACTG